TCTCTTTCTTTCCGTTAGTGTCTGTCTGTATCTAGATTACTATACCTCGCGGTTTTACGGTGCTTGCAACTCCAAAAGGTCATATGAGCGCCAAGGGGTGGATGCCAAGAGAAAAGTACTTACGGGGAATCAGACTTACTCTGCCCACCTCTCTTGCTTCAATAGCACAAAGTCTGGTTCGACTATCAAGGCACCCCGGAAATAGTGGGTCACAAGAGTGGGATAAACATACAAAAAAGTAGAGGAGAAATAACAATAGTAAGGATTTGGAAAGAAAAGGCAGCAGTTCCCTGTTGTAGATCAGGTACAGTTATTAGCGTGACATTGAAGAATCAGCCCATTTACAATTCTACTGTGCATGAACGAGAAATGTTCTCCCCTTTGGGAATGGCCTGAAGACACTTTAGTCAGTGGCACCGCCCCGGGGTGTGTGTATGTGTGTGAGAGAAAGAGAGAGGGAGGGAGAGAGAGAGGGATGGAGAGAGAGAGAGAGAGAGAGAGAGAGAGAGAGAGAGAGAGAGAGAGAGAGAGAGAGAGAAGGAGGGGACGTGAGAGAAAGAGACCGATGAACAAGTGTACACAAAGGGAATGTTTTGGAGAAAAATGAGTAGTAGGGTAATAATGTGTGTGTGCTCAGGCGTATTCTGCGTACAGACGTGATTAAATGTTTTCGCTTTGCGACCTAAAATAAATAAGCCCGATTCAATTACGCCCGTAAACTTTGTAAACGCTGGAAATTTACTCATTTCTTCATGCAGAACACGCCTGGGCACACACTTAGTCTTGATTGCGCGCAAGACGCAAGATCAATTACTTACATTCAGTGACAATAACAATAACAATAAAAGAAAGGAAAAAGGAAGTGTTGCTATACTATGGATTTAATTTGTACTATTAACCCTTATTCCACACAATGTGTCACGTGATTAATGATCTCTTCTCAATCTTACAGCATAATTGTACCCTGCTGACCCCATCGTTCGCCCCAACATTCCCTTCGCCAACTCTTTCCATCTCTCTCCCTCCCCCCCCTCTCTCTCTCTCTCTCTTTCTCTCTCTCTCTCTTTCACTCTCTCTCTCTCCTTCTCTCTCTTTCTCCCCCCTCCTCTCTCTCTCTGTCTCTTTTTGATGTCTTTCATTGACACTTAACAACAACAACGTGAGAAAAATTCAAATTTTGGCACACCCACTGCCACTGTATACGATACCCCACAATCGTATTCAGACATTTTAAACATTCTTTGTAAGTGTAAGAACTCCTAACGCCAGGAGCTTCGGCAAACTGGCCGTTTTCCTCCAGTATTTTTGCAAAGTCCAGATGCATGCACATCTGCGTACGGTCCCTTAAAACTTAGTCTTAGCGCAGGTAGGGCGTACGGTCCCCTAGCGCCAAGCACTATTGGGGCGTACGGTCCCCTAGCGCCAAGCACTATTGGGGCGTACGGTCCCCTAACAATAGCCGGATGAGAATAGCCACTTCCCTAAAGTATTGTATTTCAGACAAAACCAAAAGGTGCCTTACTGACTTGAATGTATTTGAACCTGAATAATTACTAGATATAGATCTAGATCTAATCTAGATCTATATCTAGATCTAATGACTAAATGAGACCTGTGTACTTAACAGGCTTGAGTCGATAGGGCCAACAAACCTAGATCTAAGTCACTTATTAAGTACGGCTAGCCACTTCGTATCTAGATCTAGTACTAGAATCTAGGGTGATCTTGTAGTTCCGTTCCTTAAAGTCCACGATCCATTTGTTTACATCCAGAGAAGAAATCCAGAAGTCTTGAAGACCAAAAATACTATTGAATTAGGCTACACAAAGAGCAGGGATGCAACCTAACTGCAAAACATCAAATTAGGATAAAATTCAGGGGGGCATGCCCCCCTGAACCCCCCCCCCCCACCTCCATATTTTTATTAGGTCAGGGGGGCAAGCCCCCCTGAAACCCCCCTTCTCTTGACTCTAACGAACGAAACTACAAAATCGCGGAATCTAGATCTAGAAAGATTATAGTTTATAGATCTAGATCTAGTACTAATAGTAGTAAGCAGTATTAGTACCCTGGCCAGGCCTGCCCTGAGCCTGGCTAACTGTGAGACTGGAGGAATCGTGAATCTGGCAACCGTGTTGTTAGGCCTCCTAGAGTCGAGAGTTGGAAGTTAGTCTAGTAAAAAAGTAGAAAGACGGTTCACCATGCTCGTAGATCTAAGTCATAAGCTACAGAATAATACTGAGAATCGCAGAACAAGCTCAAGCTGTTCTTACCAAAGATCCGATATACAGAGAAGCCACTGCCCTTGTTATAAGTGTCTCCAGAAGTCTATTCTCGCTCTTCTATTTTCGGGCTTGATGACTTGGTGCCTGACTCAATACACAACACTGCATCCTAAATTTGCTAGGAAGAAAGCAACCGGAAGTTTACAGTTTCATACTTATGTTATGCCAGGATCTGCCAGATAAATAAAAAGATCTACAGCCATTGAACTGTGAGATCAATGATACAGACAAAAAAAGTCACTGCAGTACACACAATTCTACACTCCATGAGTGTAGAATTCTGTGCTGCAGTAGCATGGTGTAGGCTAATGTTACTTATATTTATTTTCTGTTAATTCTTCGTGGGTTGTTTTTTTAACAGCATCGTCTGTTTTTACAACAGAATGCTATATCACTTACTTGGATCGTTCTGGCTTTCTATAGTTAATAAATTTTGATACACCGACTCTATAATATTGCTGCATTGTGAACAAAAACTGCCATTCTTGGCAACCAGGAAATTGCAAATTGCAAAGGCCAACGCTAAAAAATTGTGCTGCAAAGCCCAATAATGGCCAAGCCTGGGCCTCTATACTATTAGTATTAGGCTATAATTTGAAGTGCCCCTGATTAAAGCATATAGGCTTAGTAGAGATGGAGAGAGACTGACAGGCAGACATAGACACACCCAGAAAGAGAAGGGGAGGAGAGAGAAAACTGTGTGTGTGTGTGGGGGGGGGGGGGGGGGGGGGGGGATTTTTTTTTGTTTTTTTATAAATAGATAAAAGGAGAGAGAAAAAAAATTTTTAATCGCCCCGCCCGCCCCCCGGGCGTAAAAAATAAATATTTTTTTCCTTTCCCCAAAAACAACCAAAAAAAAATAATAAGTACCCCCTCCCCCTCATTTTTCATCTTTTTTTTTACGATAACCCCGCGGGGCACGGTTTTTTGTTTTTACTAAAAAAAAAAAAAAAAAAAA